ATCAATGTGAAAGGAAAGAAATGAGACACAGGTTACTGTGATGTGAGACGTTAGTTACCTTGGTTCAGGAGAAAGTCAGAACCGTCGTCATGAGAAAATCGTTGTGCACATGGAAATGTTTTAATCTATTACATTCAGTGTTATAGCCAATTGCTAGAACTAAGCATCCAACAGTATCAATCTACTTACAACATATGACATAAGTAATTGCATGTAGAGCAACATTGACTTCTGGAGCTGACACTGGGACACGCACTTGGTGTCATAACTGTCATTTCATAGCATCTTTACATACTGCATCTAAATACAAATACTTTTTAATATGTATTTTATACGACATACGAAAGGGCGAGAGGCCGATCACATGATCGCTAAACTGTTCGTTGTCTTATTAACGACTCATTTTGAGGTTAACTCATTTTTCACCTAACTAAGGGAAAACCCCGGGAGTTCCACAGCATGAATGTATAGAACGAAGCCTGGTTTCTGATCATTTGGACACACTTATCTTGAACTCTTCGGTTTTACATACAGTGTTAATATCCTAGCTGCGAAATGAAGAAATCATCTACGTGACAAACATAATACTAAAAAGCATACAAATACAGATGCCTTCAGTGAATTTTGATTTTTTTTTCAGTTCCACCAATAAATGAAAACAGGAATGACGATTATGTAGTTATGTCTGAATTTAGCGATGTCTTCTCGTTTTCCAACACATTGATTGTTTCCCTTCAGCTTGAAATTAAATTATGTAAATTCAAGAACCAAGTGAAACCGTTAACAACAATAACAGTTGACAGTTAACTGCATTACGTCTTCATAAATTCAACCTAAACCCTTGACTTATTCCTCTCCGCAGAAACTGGATACACTGACTCGAGTGATGTTTGAAATTGTATACTACTTTTCGCCTCACATACTTATGCCGTCACGAAATATAATGAATGTACCACCACATCAGCACTGGCATAGGGAGAAATACAGTTTACAATTACAAACAGGTGTCGGGTATAGAGAGAGACACACATGTTAAAACTTGTGAAGCATGCATGTCAGTGTGACATAGCCTAGAAGTTTCGATCAAAATAGCATACGGACATTGAAACTCCACTTCATGAATATCTTGTAAGGCATGTTAATGACATAAAAGAATGACTCATGTGCGTTGATGGTCATGAATAAATCATTATGAAAACGAACAGGAACATTCATGGCGACACAAAGACGTAGGGCGAAATGCAGTTTTCAATTTACAACACACATGAGTCATTGTGTCGGTAATCCAGGCCACACACGACAGACTGAAAAATATGCACATCGCCCTGACCTGGCCCATAAGGAAAATGATACTCCTTGATAACTGGTACAGGTTTGGTACTCAAATGTAGAATCAAATGTATGTCATCAGGCCTGAAAATGCAGTGAACTGCATCTTCTCCTCGAATAAGTCCCTTCAGCTAGATCATTAACAAACTGTTAACAAGAGAAACAGCTAACCTCATTGTATTACTACTTGATAATCATCGTAAACTGCATTTCAACCTTATTACAACCAAATGCGCACTGTACTACCACAGCATTCATGACTGCACACATGCGGTTTATAATTTCCAAAAGCACTTTAGTCATTGAAAAATACGTTTCCGCAGTTACCGATGACTCAAGTGCGACAGCAACACTGATTTATTCAATAAACTACAAAGGCGAAGGGCGAAGTGCAGTTTACAATTTCAAACACACGAGTCATTGTATGTGTATCCCTTGCACATACGGTAGTTTTGGGATCATGAGTGAGTAAGGTGGGTTTAACTCCGCTTTTAACAGGATGCCAGGTTTATCACGGCGTGTCAACTTCATGTGACAGTAAAGGTCGAAGAGATGCCGGTGAAACCAAAGCGCACTGTCGTGGTGCTGACACACCTAGAAACAGAGTCGCTGCGACCCGGAATTCGAAACCACGATCACAGGTGTCAGCACAGCGAATATCGGCGACTCACACGATTGGGCCACCTGTTACAACACTGACGCTTTTTCAGTCTTCTGCAATTTCGGGAGAGTTTTGTATACAATAAAACGGTGACAGTAAAAAAAATCTTAAATAATTTGCTAGAATGTGATCTGCTCCATTTCAAAGTCGAAGTCGCTGTAATTGTCATTCCTTCTTAAACGAATTCGAACGCGTAGTATGCAGGCGGTTTGTCTCCATTCCAACGTGATGCGTCTTCCTGATGCGTCTTGATACTGACGGCGGATAAGCTAGTGAAAGAAAGTGTGATTTGAGTACGTTGAATGTAAATAATCATATGATACAAGCTTGAAAGGCAGATAGATTAAATGTTAAACTTATTGTTTAGATTTAGGTTAAATGTGCTTCTTTGCATGAATTATTTACAGTTGCAGTAATTGTCAATTGAAGCCAATCTGCGCTTATCTGTTCTTACAACATTCACAACCAATACCATATAAGTAAGTAAATAAGTAAGTAAGTGTCTCGGGG